TGCATGAGAGCATGTGTGTGTGTGTAAGAGTGTGCGTGTTGTGGGGATGTGGCAGGAAAGGGCAGTGTGGCTGGAATCTGGTGGGCAGAGGAGTGTGGATTATGTGGAGAGGGTGAGGAGGATGCTTTCAGCAGGGATGGCTGTTAAGAGACTAGCCCAGTCTATTCTAGCCTTTCCCATCTCACCTAGTAGGGAGGCCGTGGGTTGGTACTATGAGGTGAATGAAGGGCAGCTGCTGCACTATAAAGTCAGTTGACCCGCTCCAGGCCTGGGTCATGGCTGTTTTGGAAAACAGAGCCTGAGGGCTAGTCCTAATGTAGTAGGTTGTAGGAAATTGTTTAGGTTTTCCAGCAGACCTGACGACCTGATGAAAATGGAGTTTGAGAAAGACTCATCTTTGACATGCACGATGAGGTAAGAAAAGAGCTAACCCAGCTGGGAGCAGTGTAGCAGGTGACTTAAGTGAGACTTGGTGATGGCAGCATGCTCCCCAGCTGCTGTGGTGGCCTTGACAAAGGCTTCCAGTGCTAAAGTATTGTCAATAGTTTGAAATAAGTTTTGAAAGTAGGTGGGGTTATAGGAATAGGTGGAGACGAGGAAAGGAAGAGTCCTCCTCAAGCTGTTAATGGCTGCCAGGTCTGTTCACTTGGTGGAGAGCAGGCAGTAATGCCCTGTGCTGGGCCTGCATCTTGTGGACTGCAGTCCAAGAGAGGAGCCTCTCTTCTTTCTGGCCGCTGAAAGCTGTTTCCTATCTGAATCTAGCTGTTGGTGTTCTTGGGCTTGCTTCTAAACCTGAACATATGCTAGGATGGTATCTGAAATCCATTTTTTCAGTCGCCTTTCAACTTTATTTTCTGTCTCCGTAGTTTTATCTGTTTCACTGAACAAATTGTTTTCGGCTCACAAACCTATTTGGGTTGGATTGACTGGAAATACTTATCTGCAAATGGCTTTTGTTTCATTAGGTTTCTGGCCCCTTTTAAAAAACTTTTTGTCAAGATCAAATTTTGGTGTGATCAGCATCTTTATGGTCTTTTGGTACCAAACATGTTTTGAGATTTGTTTCTGATGTATCCATTAATTTTTAAAATAAATATTTGAGCCATGCTATGTGCTCGGCACTGAGAATATAGATAGCAGGGGACAAAGTAAACAGAATTTACCTCCATGGAGCTCATATTCTAGTGTGTGTGGTTTAGAGACGATGAACAAGTAAAATAGAAAGTATGAGAGATGATGAGACGTATGAAGAAAAATAAAGCAGGGATCATGTATCAGGAGTCAGATTTTCTATTTTAAGTCAGAGGAATCTCATTGATTAAAAGATATTTGAGCAAGACTAGGGTGGCTCACGCCTGTAATCCTAGTACTCTGGGAAGCCGAGGCAGGTGGATTGCATGAGCTCAGGAGTTCAAGACCAGCTGAAGACAGAGCGAGACCTCATCTCTAAAACAAATAGCTGGGCATTGTGGCAGGCACCTGTAGCTCCAGCTACTTGGGAGGCTAAGGCAAGAGAATTGCTTAAGCCCAAGAGTTCAAGGTTGCTGTGAGCTGTGATGCCACAGCACTTTACCAGGATGGCAAAATGAGACTGTCTCAAAAAAAAAAAAAAAAGAAGACAACAACATTTGAGCAGAGATCGGAAGGAGATGAAAGAGTGAGTCATGAAGATATCTGAGGGAAAAGTAGTCAGGATGGAGGGAAAAGCAGGTGCAAAACCACTAGAGGCCAGAGAGTGCTTAAAGTGTTTAGAGAACTGCACAGGGGGCACACACAGTGGCTCATGTCTGTGATCCCAGCATTCTGGGAGGTCGAGGGAGGTGGATCACCTGGAGCTCAGGAGTTAGAGACCAGGCTGAGCAAGAGTGAGACCCTGTCTCTACTAAAAAAGGAAAGCTAGTTGGACATTGCAATGGTGGGTGCCTATAGTCACAGCTTCTGGAGAGGCTGAGGTAGGAGGATCACTTGAACCAAACAGTTTGAGGTTGCTGTGAGCTATGATGACGTCATGGCATTCTACCCAAGGTGACAGAGTGAGACTCCGTCTCAAAAAACAAAAAAACAACCAAACAAAAAACTGTAATGAAGTTAGTGTGTGGGGTGGTGTGGGGAGGGTCCCAGCCTGTAGAGCAGGCATCCTCAAACTACGGCCCACGGGCCACATGCAGCCTGCCGGGTGTTTTTGCTGCTTCTGCCTGTCCTGCTTAGCAGCTGACTCATTCCAGGGCCCACAGTCTGGCCCTCCAACGGTCTGAGGGACAGTGAACTGGCCCCCTGCTTAAAAAGTTTGAGGACCCTGCTGTAGAGATTCTTCTGATGGCTGGTTTGAGCTGGGGTTGGGCATTAGGATCACTCCCCAGATGTCCCTAATGGGCATCCAGGTCTAGGGGTTAAATAAACCTTATCCTCTATATTTGAGGGATTTGGGTAACTGTGAATAGGAGACTTCAGCTGCTCTGATGGGAAGGAAGGCCAGGGCAGGGCTCTATGACCTTTCAGAAATAGCAGGAATCTTCCAAAGTAATAAAAACTCTTTTCAGTTTATGTACCTTTTCTCATTTGATCACTTCACCTCTCTGATCCTCAGTTTTTGTGCTTATTATACAGTGAGTGGCTTAAATTTAATGGTTTACCAGGATCTCTTTGGCTCTGATAGTTGTTAATTTTTCTACTTTTAGAAGAACCTCTAATCTAGAACAGCATTCTAGAATAGTGTTTTCTAATCTTCATCTTACAGCTGCTAAGGCATGTCATTATTATGGCAAAGGCTACAGTGAAAGTCTCAGTACCAAACTGAAGGGTAGTTTGTGCCATATAAGTAGCATGTTGGTCAGATGCAATATTGGGAAATCTAAAATGTGAAAGCTGACCTTCCAGTTCAGGGTTCAGAGTACTAGGGTGGCTCAGTTCTTAGAGGCAGGTGGGAGCCTAAGTGCCAGTTGTAGCTCACTGACTAGTAAGTAGCTTGTGAGGTGGGAATAGTGTCTTACTAACTATGTATCCTGGTGTGAGCATGTGAACAGGGTGACCTAGAAGGAGCACCCAGCCGGGGTCAGTGAAGCCTGATGCCGGGTTTGTCAGCCCCTCTCTGCAGCCAGACTGTGTTATTGCATCTGAAAGGCTATCTGGGTAACTATCTGACAGAATCCAGTGGCTAGAGGAATTGAGGTTAACCTGGAGAACTTACTATTGGACTTCAGACTCAAAACAGCTGGCCACTGGGCCACTTGCTTAAGCCCAAGAGTTCAAGGTTGCTGTGAACTTTTTTTTTTTTGAGACAGAATCTCACTATGTCTTTCTGGGTAGAGGGCAGTGGCACCATCATAGCTCACAGCAACCTCAAACTCCTGGGCTCAAGCAGTCCTGTCTCAGCCTCCCAAGTAGCTGCGACTACAGGTGCCTGCCCTAACGCCTGGCTAGTTTTTCTATTTTTAGTAGAGATGGGATCTCACTTTTGCTCAGGCTGGTCTCAAACTCCTGAGCTCAGGCATTCCTCCCACCTTAGCCTCCCAGAGTGCTAGGATTACAGGCATGAGCCACAGTGTGCCTGGCCTGGTTTTGTCCTCAGTTGGGCAGCACAGTGTCTGCTTGTTGGTTTATGTTTTGAAATGCGAAGGTCCTGGCTCAGCGCCTGTAGCTCAGTGGGTAGGCTGGCGGGTTTGAACCCGGCCTAGGCCAGCTGAAACAACAATGACAACTGCAACAACAACAAAAAAGGCCGAGTGTTGTGGTGGGTGCCTATAGTCCCAGCTACTTGGGAGGCTGAGGCAAAAGAATCACTTAAGCCCAAGAGTTTGAGGTTGTTGTGAGCTGTGACACCATGGCACTCTACCCAGGGTGATAGCTTGAGCTTTTTTTTCTTAAAAAAAAAAAAGTTTTCTTTATTTCCTTTCTGTAGAATTGGTTTCCCTCCCTTTCCTTCTTAAATTTTCTATTAAATATTGTCTATATGTCTATTTAGAATCCAGACTAAATACTAATCTGTCAAAATTAGGACAAAAGTGAAGTTAAATGGGAGAATGCAAGATTAGAATGAGAACGAACCAAATTAGAAATTTGGGGGATGAGACCTCATTTTGTCATTCATGGGTACAGGTAGCTGAGGGCCCACTGTGCGTTTCCCCATCTTGCCTGCTCTCTGGTCCTGTCCCCACCCCACTTCCTGGCCTGTGCTTCCTCAGCTTTGGTGGGCATCCTGGAGCTGTGTGATGGGGCAATCCAGACGTCACTCCTGCATCTCTCTGCCCTCTCTGCATGCTCTGACAAGCAGTGTGCTTGGACACTCAGAGAACTTTTGAGGGAAAGCTTGCTGACTACTGCGGTCGGCAGTATAATACTTAACAAGTAGGTGTATTTGCTATGTGAAAAGCAGTGCTATAAGAGCTTTATGTATGTTAACTCCTTTGATTCCTATTGTAGCCTGTTTACATGTGGGAAACAGATCTAGAGGAGAAGAATCTTGCCCCACGTCGCTAGTCAGTAGTAGAACTGGGATTTATACTGAAGAGTCTATCCTTTGAATTGACAGGCTATGATAGGGGAAGGAGAGCAGGTCTGGGGCAAGGAAAAGTTTTGTCTTTGATGATAGTTGTGGCCTACTTTGAATTTATGTTTGGGGATTTTTTTCAGGGTTTTACCTGCACTTGGATTATTATTATTAGTTTTTATTTTGGTTAATTTATTTTTGAGATAGTCTCACTTTTTAACCCTATGTAGAGTGCCATGGCAACCTCAAACTCTTGGGCTCTAAGTGATCCACCTGCCTTAGCCTCCCTGGTAGCTGGAACCACAGGTACCTTGCCACAATGCCTGGCTGTTTTTTAGAGACAGAGTCTTGTTCTTGTTCAGACTGGTCTTGAACTCCTGAGCTCAGATGATCCACCCGTCTTGGCCTCTCAGAGTGCTAGGATTATAGGCACGAGCCACTTTATAAAACTCTGTTTCCTTACTTTAACCCTTAGGCCCATTACAAATATATTTTATTTTTCTTCTTTCCTTAGGTGGTGTTTGGACACTAGACCATGTGCCTAGGTAGAAGTTTTTCCTTTCTCCACAACTCCACTACCCCAGCAACGCTCACCACGCCTTTGTTTTGAGAACCTCACTAAGGTATGATATCTAGGCTGACCTGAGCTGGCCTTAAAGAGCTGAGGGACATAAGAGACTTTTTCTATCCCTTGGTGGGATGTTTTCTTTTGTGTGTGTGTGTGTGTGTGTGTGTAGTAAAATACTTATAACAGATTTTGCCATTTTTAAAGGTACAGTTGAGTGACATTAAGTACATTCACAATTGTGCAGCCATCACCACTGTCTTTTTCCAGAACTGTTTATCATCCCATACTGAAACTCTGTACCCATTAAATAATAACTCCCTGTCTCTGTCAACCACTATTCTACTTTCTGTCTTGAACTTGCCTATCCTAGGGACTTCATTTAAGTAAAATCATACCATATTTGCCCTTTTGTATCCAGCTTATTTCACTAGGGATAGTACCGTCAAGGTTCATCCATATTGTAGCATGTGTCGGAAGTCTCTTCCTTTCTGAGACTGAATAACATCCCACTGTGTAAGTATACCACATTTTGTTTATTCGTTTTTCCACTGATGAATACTTGAGTTGCTTCCACCTTTGGGTATTGTGAATAATGCTGCTATAAACCTGGATGTGCACCTTTCTCAAGACCCTGCTTTTAATTCTTTTGAGTCTATATCCAAAAGTGGAGTGCTGGATTATATGGTAATTCTGTGTTTACTTTTTTGAGGAAGTGCTATCTTGTTTTCTATAATGGCTGCACTGTGTTACATTCTCACTAGTGATACACAAGGTTTCAGTTTCTCCATACATTCTCACAACACTTGGTATTTTCTTTCTTTCTTTTTTTTTTTTTTTTGACACAGAGTGTTACTATGTCACCCTCAGTAGAGTGCTGTGGTGTTGTCACAGCTCAGCAACCTCAAACTCTTAAGCTTAAGTGATTTTCTTGTCTCAGCCTCCCAGGTAGCTGGGAATACAGGTACTTGCCACAATGCCCAGATTTTTTTTTGTTGCAATTGTCATTGTTGTTTAGTAGGCTCAGGCTGGTTTCAAACCAGCCTTGATGTATGTGGCTGGCACCATAACCACTGGGCTATGGGCGCCCAGCCAACACTTGGTATTTTCTGTTTTGTTTTGTTTTTAAATAATTGCCATCTTAATGAGTGTGACCTTGGTGGTAATCTAACTGGACCATTAGCCGAGGGCTGGATCCTATTGTGCTGAAATGTTAAAATGTAGGAAAAAAATGATAAATCTACAAAAATGTAGAAAAAAGGATAAACCTCTATGTCTTCCTCACCCAGATACAGAGTTAGTAGCTACCAATTCATGGCTGATCTTGTTTCATTTATAGATCCCCCTCCCTGCTTTCTTCCTTCTGCTCAGACATCATGAAAGACACATATCACTAAGTGTCTTTAAAAGATAAGGCTCTTAATCTTAATGTTCCATTGTATCTGATGGTAGAAAGGCACATAGGGCTATTCTTTTGGACACATTATTTCTGTTATTCCCTTGGATCACCAGGGACATATAGTTGGCACACAGAGAACACTTGGATATTGGATCTGTTGTCAAGCTGTTGATGAAAAGCTGCCTTGGCTGGATCTCTCCTTTCCTACAGAAGACTGATTGCTCTGAAGTTTGAGCAGTTATGATAAAAGAGCCCACCTATGGGGCTCTGCGTCACCTGCCTGTAGTCCTAGCTGGTCAGGAGTGGCTGAGGCAAGAGGGGAGGATTGCTTGAGCCCAGGGGTTTGAGGCCAGCTTAGGCAATATAGTAAGACCCTGCCTCTTAAAAAAAGGTAAAAATTTAAAAAAGAGTGACAGAAGCGGCACCCATAGGTCAGTAGGTAGGGTGCCAGCCACATGCACCGAGGCTGGTGGGTTCAAACCTGGCTCAGGCCAGCTAAAACAGCAACAATTACAAAAAATAAAATAAAGTAGATAGCCAGGTATTGTGGTGGGCGCCTGTAGTCCCAGCTACTTGGGAGGCTGAGACAAGAAAATCACTTAAGCCTAAGAGTTCGAGGTTGCTATGAGCTGTGACCCCATAGCACTCTACTGAGGGCAACATAACGACACTGTCTCCAAAAAAAAGTGAGACAAAGCAAGAGAGAGCGAGCTCATTCAGATCTCTGTTGAGAGAAGAAAAAGAAAAGAAAAGGGGGATGAGGGAGAAAGAATAAAAGAGGAAGATGCAGGAGTGTGATACTAGGGAGCAGGAAGGAATAAGGGAGAAGGGATGAGAAGGAGGAGAGAGAGAGACAGACACACACTGCAGTGAAAGAGCAGAGCAGACCTGGGAGAGAAACTTTACTGGCCTCTGACTCACCAGCTCTAAAGCCACCACAGAGATATCCCAAGACTAATAGCATGTTGCTGTGTCTCCCAAACCTTTCACTTTTGGAATCTTTGGGACTGTAAATTATCTGTGTTAGATGAGACTGGCACACCAACACATGGGTACCAGAGATGGGAAAAGGGTGATCTTGTGTAATGCCCTCTGAACCTTTCGCTCAGGAAGTAAAGGTTTGGTTCCCAGTAGGTCTGAGGCTTTTGGCTTCTTTAAATCTGGGGTGAGATGATACTTTTACAAAGTTAAATGGGAAGAATTTCCTCAGGTTGGTGCATGAACAAGAGGAGTCCTGTCCCACATTTTTCAAATCTCTATGTCCTGTTCCCTTCTAACAAAGTATGGTACCTAGTTAGTGCCGAGGTCTGTTTGCAGATAAGCAAAGGTGAAGAGGGCACAGGTTACATAGTATCACTTTTTTTTTAATTGGAGAAGGATGAAGGAGGATGGATAGGAAGGACGGAGAAGGAGCAGGAATGAGTACACTGTCAGTTTTGTCTGTGTCTGAGCTGTCAGCTTTGCTGCCTGTGTCTGACCCCCACTATTTCAGTCAGCTTTACGGCCCTGCATAATCCCAGTGCCTTCCAGTTCTCTTTTTCTTTCTTTTTATCTTTTGAAAACTATAACAGCTTTATGGACACATAAGTTCACATGCATGCAGTTTGCCCCTTCAAAAATCTATAATTCAGTGCTTTTTAGTCTATTCACAGAGTTTTTTCCCCTTAAGACTCAGGGTCACCCTGTGCCTTCCTCTTCCTTGTGGTTCTCAGAGCTGGCCTTCCCTCTCCACTGATGTCACACTCCTCAAGACAGATAACACTGTAGTGGGGACCCTGGCCAGTAGGCATTTCCCATAGCTATACTATTTAATTTAATCAGCCCATACAGTGGCCCTGGATTCACAGACAGGAGTTACTTTGGGTAGACTCCTTCCTGCAGGTGAGTTTCCATCACCACTGAAGTTCTATTTATAAAAAGGTTTTTTTTTAATTAAATGATTATTTATAAAAAGTTTTAAAAAACAAAACCCTTTGGCAGCACTTATAGCTCAGTAGGTAGAGTGCGAGCCACACACACTGAGGCTGGCGAGTTTGAACCCGTCCAGGGCCAGTTAAAATCAACAATGACAACTGCAACAAAAAAATAGCTGGGCATTGTGGTGGGCGCCTGTAGTCCCAGCTGCTTGGGAGGCTGAGGCAAGAGAATCGCTTAAGCCCAAGAGTTTGAGGTTGCCATCAGTTGTGATGCCACAGCCCTCTATCAAGGGTGACATAGACATTTTATTTTTTTACCTCAAAAAAGAAAAAAAAAAAAGGAAAACCTTCCAAAGGTTGCATATTTGCCAAATGTTTGACTGATAATAAATCTGGTTGGCCATCTGTGACTATTCTGAACTATCTTAGTTCTGGACAAGTGAGCTTATCAAACTGTTTCCCCTTACTAATGGTGGATTACCTTCCAGCAAACACACTGGTGCTTATAAACAGACAATAAAGTAATGAGCAGTTACGTATGGTAGGTGGCAATAAGTGCTGGGAAGAAAAATAAAGCAGAATAAAGGGACAGGGATTGATGGTGGGGTGGGTATTGGTGTCACACATGGAATGGTCTTCACAAGGTGACGTTGGAGTAAAGACTTGAAAGAGTGAAGAAGTGAGACCACAGAGACTGGGGGAGCACATCCCAAGCAGAGGGAACGGGAGGAGCAAAGGTTCAGAGCTGGGAGTCTATGGTCTGGGGGAGTGGTCAGGAGGCCTGGTAGATGGGCTGAGAGAGGGAGGCAGGAGAGCAAGAGTAGTCAGTCAGCCTGGCGTGCAGGCTGTGGGAAAGACCAGATTTCAGTCTGCATGAGACTGGATGGCATTGAAAGGTTTTGAAGAGAAGATGGTCATGATCTGATGTGCAGTTTGTTTTTTTTTTTTGAGACAGGATCTCACTATGTTGCCCAGGCTGAAGTGCAGTGGCAGGGAAGGGGAGGTGTACAACTGACACAGTCATGGTGCACTGTGGTTATAATCTTTTTGGCTCACACAGTCCTCGTGCCTCAGCCTTCCAAGTAGCTGGGACTACAGTAATAGCTGGCATGCATACCAAGCCTGGCTAATTTTTAAACTTTCTTGTAGAAATGAAGTCTTGCTAAGTTGCGCAAGCTGGTCTTGAACTTCTGGCTTCAGGTGATCCCCCTGTCTCGGCCTTCCAAAGCTCTGTATTATAGGGCCAGCCACAGTGTCCAGCCTACCTGTGTTTTAGAAGTGATACTTTGGCTATTATGTTGAGAATGACTAGAAGAGGCAAGAGTGGAAACAAGGAGACCAGTCAGTGAGAAATTGTTTGACTTGGGTCTATCTTTTTTTTTTTTTGATAGAGACGGAGTTTCCAGTTGTCACCCTCAGTAGAGTGTGGTGGCGTCATAGCTCAGTAGCTCACAGCAACTTCAAACTGTTGGGCTTAAGCAATCCTCTTGCCTCAGCCCCCAAGTAGCTGAGATTTCAGGTGCCTGCCACAAAACCCGGCTATTTTTTTGAGACGGAGTCTTGCTCTTGCTCAGGCTGGTCTTAAACCCATGAGCTCAGGGCAGTCCACCTGCCTTGGCCTCCCAGAGTGTTAGGATTACAGGCGTAATCATGCCCGGCCAAATTGGGTGTATCTTGAAGCGTTGACAGAATTTGTTTGTGGATTGGATGAAGGATGTGAAGGAAATAGGTTTTGGCCTAAGT